GATGGGACGCGCGCTGTTCCTAGAACGAAAAGGAAAAAACACCATTGCGAATGATAAGAGAAATTTTTGCTGCCGGAAGACATTTGGCGGGAAACTGTTTCGTTGTACGATGTCATCGATGTGGCCTCGGATTAGCCAATGAGAGCTCGCACGGTTAAACTGCGTCGCAAGTGTTTGTTGCGAAAGTTGGAAAGAGAGCAAAAATCGAAATAAAGGCGGAGGTGGAGGGGAGAAATGAAAACGCTTGTCCGCAAACCCCGAGATTCGCGCACGAACGCAGCTTCTGAATGGCGCAGTTTGACAGCGTTGACTGACCAGCGGCCAATACCTCAATCAAACAAAGTGCGTGCGTCTTTTCTCTCCCCATACCACTTCTTCCATTTTTTGGCTCTCGATGGAACGTTTAAGTACTTAATCAGAAACGGTAAGGTAATTAACTTACTCATTTTTCGCATCAATTTCTAACCCAGGAATAGCTACAGCAGCTGCAGTAGTTTCACGATCATTTTCTGTTTTTTCACCACCATTTGACCCAGCGGCAGATGCTGCACCGATATCTTTCTCTTTGGTTGGTTTCTTTGTTTGCTGGGATATCCTTGGAGTTCTGTCAAATGAAAAAAGGAAACAAATCTATTTAGAGCGATTTTCGAACGACCTTGAAAAATGGTTTCGGTAAGTGTTCGTTATTTGTTTTATCCGCTATTAAATGGATGAAGAGATCAAAACATGGCCTCTTCGTTTTCCCGCAAAAGAAAACCATAATATGGAGAAGGTATTGTTCGATTGGATAATCGTGTTGCAATATGACGCCAAAGCGAAGTATCGATTGATTTCTAGAAAGTTCTCGGGAAGGAAGTTTTTTTCACCCGCGCGTTCGCTTAACCAACCAAAGCCACGCGCGTTTGTATCCGTTCGATAAACCAATCAAATCGCTCTATTTCCGTTCGCGCGTTTTGTTCGACCGTTTTCATTTCAAGGTCATACGAAAATCGCTCTATTGTAGACTTGAGAAAACAGCCGACACTTCGCGACGCCCACCACTGCATACCGATGACGTGTCACTACCCGGATCTGGGAAGCGCTTCTGATCGGCTGAAGATTTCCCACGCGGCATGACCAATACGTCGCGAAATGCCAGGTGCTTTCTCAAGCTATTGTAAGCAATTTTGTAGCACTTTTATCAATCTGCCTGGTTCCCTTCTGCCAGATAGGGTTACGTTTCTAACCAGGCTGAGAAGAACGCAATTATGTACAAACCTACCTAGAGTAGCTTATGTATTTGCAGTTCCACTATATTAATTATAAGCACTACTTTACAATATTACACTAAGTAATTGAGTTTATAGAGGGCCTTCACGTTTTCAGTCACCTTGTGGGATGGTAACTTATATTCTCGTCCATTTAATTTGCGATATGAGAGAAAAAACGTTCGCGAGACTTCACTTTAGATAGTCACTAAACTACGAAAATTCTTCTAAGTGAAGACTATTAAGACATCCCAGAATTGGCAAAACTTTTCATTCAGTACATAGTCACATTTTAACGACTTAAATCAGAAAATAGAGCCATAAAGGAACAATTAAGACTTCAGTTAATGAGTTATTAAGCAAGTTCATTTCCAATAAAACATTAGTTTTAGACTTCAAAGTTTGCGGAAATAAAGCATCTAAAAGCGTGCGATATGTTGAATTTGTGTCGTGCATTTTTCACGGTCGGTCTTTAATTAGAGACATTCTTTAAATCATAAAAAAAATGTTACAAAAATGTGTATGTGTAATCAAATGGTGACGAGTGAAATTAGGGAATAATTTCACGTGCGTTTTGTCCAAATCCTAATATTTTCCCGAGCCTTTGATTTTACGAGTATACCATTTGATTACCTATTTTAATTCAAAATAACATGGGTTACGAATTACGTTAGCAATCTTGGATTTTTGACAAGTTTATCCTGAATCGCATTGATCGAGAACTTCTCTCTCTCGAACGTTTAGAGCTTAAATTTGGCTTAAGTTCAGACTTTTTCAACAAAATACCTGTAAGAATCCTTCTTCATGTGCTCTTTCGTGTGTTCAGGTTTTTTAAGGCGTTTTTTTATGCTCTGGCATCTTCGTTCATGACATTTTGAAACTTCGTCGCCATCTTGACACTGAGACGTACGGAAGGTTGCCATGGCAATTTTGTAATTTAACATGTGAAATTACAAATTATCGCTGAAATTTCGCGCCAAAATTAAGAAGTAATTCGTCACCTATGATATTAGCGCTGTAATGTTACGCTTTCATTTTATTATTTTTACATCACTCCTTACCGAAGTTGCACAGGTGCTGAGGTGTTAATGTACTGCATGGGTCCTCTTTTGGTCTCTCTCCGACTTGGATACAGAAGACTGTACAGAGATTCAATTTTTCCCTGCAGTAAATGAAATGCAAACATCACATTTTTAAAATAAAAGTTACTTTTCACTTACAATAAGCGTGGAAACAAGATCCCTAGATCACTTGTGACGTCATCGGCTCTAACTGTCAAAGACAACGTATGACATCAAACTCTTATGGGAGAAAGCCAAACCATGCCTGAATGAGCGCTACTCATCAAACAGGCCAGGAGAGAAAAAAAAATCACCTTACATTGACAACATGTCTTGCAAGAAGCCCTTTTTCCAAGTACAGGTTCACGAATCCACATGATGCTTACTGTACAATATGAGAGGGAGCTAAGTGTACCACCATACAGTCTGAGCTTCTGCTTTACGCGTTAGCCAGGTAGCATTTTGTATTCAACACATGAGTGATAAGATTAAAAAAGAGCCAGATCTACCCCTCACTAGACAGCTAGGTAGCCTGAGCTGCAAGCGTTTCCCCCAAGAGTTTTTCCCGAAAGGTGGGACGAAAGCTTCCTCAATATTTTTTTGCTTTCTCTCTCCAACTTTTGTGCAATAACTCGATTGGGAACACTTGCTTCAGGGGCAAGTGAGTAAGAAAAGTAACTTTTTAGTATTAAATGACTACTTTCAGATGAGTAGGACCCCCCAACCCTGGTCAAAATAGCTAGGTCCCTAAACTGCTCATGCTTACTTACACGGCACACTCTCTGATAAACCTCCTCGAGCCCTGCAAGCTCAGCTTGAATGCTCTCGCTCTCAACGTCAGATATAATTCTGCTATTTTTGGATTTCAGTTCCACTGAAGGAGTCGTCACAATATCATCTTCAAGATCGCCATCTGTAGGTCTGTTGGGCGGGGTTGAATACACCGTCCTTCTGTCAAAACAGAGATAAAATGCAACTCAAATTTCATTTCATACCTCACTGCCACAAAGAAACAAATATACAAGAGCATGCAAGCCAGGAAAACTACGATAATAATGTTATTATTACAACTGGAGGTAAGGCAAGTTAAAGATAAATTAATAATAGCAGCGGTGCCAGCTCAACCTCGTTGCCAGGGGGTAAGAAAAAATGTTGGTGCTAGCTCTGGTTTCATAACAGAATCCTTCAAACTGCACTTCAGAAAAAATTGCATTTCAAATGCAAGTCAAGACTGTGCTATAACAAAAATTGCAGAGAGTCTGATCTAAAGCTCTCACCCAGTGAAATCTAAGGTGCCAAGCACATGAGCTTTATGACACTCCAGACTCAACTAAATGGCTTTAACTCCCACCAGTCTCCTGTAGGTCAGTGACAAAACATTTGGACTGGTGACCAGATGTTCACAGGGTCAACTCCGAATGAGAGTACAGTGATTTTGTTTTCCTTCAGAACGCTATTCATTGAAAAACATCCCTTTTCAAGATTTCCTAGTCACACAAGAGAACAATCAAAGTAATCAGTCCAGGGCCCGGGGAGGGGGAGGCACTTGGGTTTTTTTTTAGGTGGGTATGTGCCACCCGGGACTCCAAATTGGCACTCCGTTCTAAAAAAAATTTCCCCTAAAATTGATACCCCGTTCTAGAAATGGGCCAATTTTTTATACTCCGTTATAGGGTGCAACAAGAGCACAACAGTTTGCTTGTTAACTCATTGAACCGTATTTTTAAAAGCAATCTGTACTTGAATAATTTCAAATGGCTGCTTACAAAACTGGAGCTTTCGTGCGTTCGAAATATTATACCCCGTTCTAAAAAACGCCTCTGAAAGGGTACCCCGTTCTAAATCAGGAGCTTCAAAATCACGACCCCGTTGGGCTGCACATACCCACATAGGTAATGTATGGGAGTACCCCCCCCCCCGGGNNNCCCCCCCCCCCCGGGGTCCAGGGCCACCAAGTATTGCTCATTAGCACATCTCTCAGGGAATTATGAGGTATGATGGTCTTATATTGATCATTATTTACCTTGCCAAATTCTTCAGATTATAAACTGTAGCAGTAGCAGGGGGAGGGGTGGGTGGTTCAGTTGAATGGCACATTCTTATTGCTTTTGGCTTGGCATGCTGTTGGAAAGTAAAATGTAACATATCACTGTTATCAACAAAGAGAGACATGTTTCCTTTGGTCCATTTACAGAGGGAGATGAACAAAATCACCTTGCCTATATCAAACACGCTTGCCCAAAGTGTAGTTTAACATTTAGGTGGTGTTTACCGGTATTTTAGTAAAAAATTCATCAGTGCGAGTTTCATACCCAAGTGACTCTCTGATTTTGTATTGCATTTACATCTTTGCAGTTTTCTCACTGTCCCATGACCAACATAACAATGCGCACCCCCTGCACCCTCCCCCTAGATCCGCCCCAAAATTATACATCTACTACCGGTTCCAGTACAGCGGGGCCGCTTTAACATTTCAAACTCAAAGGAAATTCTCATTCCAGTCCAGGAACCAGCTATTTGTCACTGTTGTGGCTGTTGTCACTCTTGTCACTCTTGTCGCTGTTGTTGCTGTTGTCGCTGTTCTCACTGTTGTCACTGTTGTTGCTGTTGTCACTGTTGTGTCACTGTTGTCACTGTTGTCACCGTTGTCGGTGTTGTCACTGTTTTCACTGTTGTTGCTTTTGTCACTGTCGCACTTTTGTCGCTGTTGTCATTGTTGTCACTGTTGTCACTGTTGTCGCTGTTGTCACTTTTGTCACTATTGTCACTGTTACATTGTTGTCACTGTTGTCGCTGTTGTCAGTGTTACGTTGTTGTCACTGTTGTCGCTCTTGTCACAGTTGTCACTGTTGTTGCTGTTGTCACTGTTGTCACTTTTGTTGCTGTTGTCACTATTGTCACTGTTGTCGATGTTCTCACTGTTGTCACTGTTGTCGGTGTTGTCCGTGTTGTCACTGTTGTCACTGTTACATTGTTGTCACTGTTGTCACTGTTACGTTGTTGTCACTGTTGTCACTGTTGTCGCTGATGTCGCTGTTGTCACTGTTGTCACTGTTGTCGCTGTTGTCACTGTTGTCGCTGTTGTCACTGTTGTCACTGTTTTCACTGTTGTTACTGTTGTCACTGTTGTCCCTGTTGTCCCTGTTATCATTGTTGTCACTGTTGTCACTGTTGTCGCTGTTGTCGGTGTTGTCACTGTTGTCACTGTTGTCGCTTTTGTCACTGTTATGTTGTTGTCGCTGTTGTCACTTCTATCGTTGTTGTCACTGTTGTCGCTGGTGTTACTGTTGTCATTGTTGTGAGGGTTGTCGCTGTTGTCAGTGTTGTTGCTGTCATCGCTGTTGTTGCTGTTGTCACTGTTGTCACTTTTGTTGCTGTTGTCACTGATGTCACTGTTGTCGCTGTTGTCACGTTACGTAAAGTTATTATCTTACAAGCAAAAATGAGGCAAATAGAGAANTCACTGTTGTCGGTGTTGTCCGTGTTGTCACTGTTGTCGGTGTTGTCCGTGTTGTCACTGTTGTCACTGTTACATTGTTGTCACTGTTGTCACTGTTATGTTGTTGTCACTGTTGTCACTGTTGTCGCTGATGTCGCTGTTGTCACTGTTGTCACTGTTGTCGCTGTTGTCACTGTTGTCACTGTTTTCACTGTTGTTACTGTTGTCACTGTTGTCCCTGTTGTCGTTGTTGTCACTGTTGTCGCTGTTGTTGGTGTTATCACTGTTGGCACTGTTGTCACTGTTGTCGCTTTTGTCACTGTTATGTTGTTGTCGCTGTTGTCACTTGTATCGTTGTTGTCACTGTTGTCGCTGTTGTTACTGTTGTCATTGTTGTGAGGGTTGTCGCTGTTGTCAGTGTTGTCGCTGTCATCGCTGTTGTTGCTGTTGTCACTGTTGTCACTTTTGTTGCTGTTGTCACTGATGTCACTGTTGTCGCTGTTGTCACGTTACGTAAAGTTATTATCTTACAAGCAAAAATGAGGCAAATAGAGAACTTCAAATAATGTGTAACTCGAACAGCGCTTGCAACTGATGAAACTTTGTACATAACATTAATATGCATGAATGTGACAATCCATTTTTTTACCTAGAGATCGTATTATAGACAGCTGTTTTGTAAGTCAACTGTTATAATCTGTCAGCTAACTTGGTCAGCACTATTCAAAAATTAACTTTTGTGACATTTGAGCAACAGTTTTCTTACAATCATACCTGATCATGCCGGGTGGTCACTTACCGTAACCAAAAAACCAAAGAGGATATATCTAATTTCTGGCTCAAAAAGTGGTCGCAGTCGCTTTGGAAATTTAGGTAGTGGTCACTTACGAGAGAGTTTTTGAAACAGTGTTTGACTGAGAAACAAAAGGATTATTTGTGAAGTGGTCACTTATGGGAGGTGGTTGCTTACAAGAAGTGGTCGCTATGAGAGAGTTGACTGTATTAATTTGTTACCAACCTTAATTTGTGAGGCAGAAAACCCTGTTTTCTCTGCAGCTTTAGGTAGTTTGAAGGGGTCTGGTCTCTGTCTCTGTTAACAAAGAAAACAAAATATTTACCATCACGAGGAGGCACATAGTCACTGAAGAAACTTATACACCTTTTCCACAATACGCTCCAGTGAGCAAAAATAAAGAAATGAGGACAAGGCTCGGGTGGACATGCAATTTCAAACAAATCACTGTATTTTGTCTACCTGAGCCTCCAGTTGGTGTCTTTGGTTACAGGAATGCGGAAAAGGTCTATTCATTGTAAATAGTTAACTAGAGCTATTTAGCCTGCAGGCAAGCTTCCTGGGGCACTCTGGCGGGCAGGGCAGGAAAAGGAAGGAGAGCCTGCAACTTTGTCTCTGGAATTTGAATATTCGCATCAAAAAAGTTGATGCGAAATTCTGATTGGCGGAGATGACAGAAGTAATGATGCCATTAGCTGAAGCACATGTTTTTCAAAATGTTTGTTTACATTTGCGCTCATTTCCGCTTTGCGTTGATGGGCAGAAATTTGACAGTTCAGTCAACACAGAGCCAAAGGGGAATTCAAATTCCAGAGATGTAGTTGCAAGCTCTCCTTCCTTTTCCTGCCCCACCACAAGCGTCCTGGAGAGCTTGCTCACAGGCTACACTAGAGTGGGTGGGGTAGTTTCATAAAATACAACACTCTAAGATTAAATTAATAAGCTTAAATTGAAAACTGCCAGTTCATAAAATCCAACACTCTAAGATTAAACTAATAAGCTTAAATTGAAAACTGCCAGTTTGCAAAATGTTGGTAAAAAATCAGCACTAATATGTATTGGACAGTCAAACCCCGTTAATACCGACACGCTGGAGGCCATAAGAAGTCTCCATAGTATTTATATGGACACTAAGCCGGGCATAGAAACAGGGTTCTGATAGGTCGCGGAAAAAAAAGTCAAATTTCGCAGGATTTTTAGGGACAAATTCACAGAAAAATCGGCCAATTTCAAAGGCAATTTTGCGGAAATTTTCAGGACAAACTTCAACAAAAAGCAGTCAGTAAAAAATGGCCAATTTTGTGGTTATTTTCAGGGCAAATTTCGCTAGAAATCGACCGGTTTTGCACTGATCAGACCAGCGTTCTTAACGTTTTTCAAACAGAGGTCATCATTTTGCTCTTTCAACTACAATACACTCCAGAAATGAACCAATGGCAAAGCCTTTAACATCATAGGTAGTGCCCAATTTTCGCAACATAATCAACACCTGGTAGTTTCGGGACATTGTTTGCATGTTTCAGTGACAAAGTTTCAAGATAAATATGCACGTTTGCGGCAAGTAAATAGCCCCAATAGCTGAGATCAGTTTCAAATATGTTGTACAGACATGTAGTTGATAAGATTTCTACTGAATTTCGCGGTATTTTAAGTGTTTTGGTGAATTTCGCGGGATTTCACAGATTCACCTGAATTTCATGCTCCGCGACTGCGCGAAATATCAGAAGCCCTGTAGAAAGTGTCCGTATTTAATGGGGAGTCGGTATTAAGTGGGATGGATTTAGGGAAAATGTAAGAGCTTTCTTTTAACTGGGACAAAGCAAGCTGTCCTTAACCCTTTAAGCCCCAGTATCCACATACAAATTCTCCAAACTGATTTCCATACATTTCCTTTAAGAATAAGTTGAGAGAATTTGATGAAAGATCATGGAATTTTCTCTATGATGATCATTTTATTAATTCTCATAACTTTATCTCTTGACAGTGTATGGATATTGTTAGGAGAAAATTTATGTTGGTCACTATTGGGACTTAAAGGGTTAATAATGAGGAGTCCGTATTAAGCGGGTGTTCGTAAAGTGGTTTTGACTGTTTATATTATATACTGTTAATGAGATGATTGCAATTTTATTGTTTCTTAGAAAATCTCTTATTACAACCATCAACACACAGTCCACAAATTCACTCCAAAACAGTGACTTTATTTGCTTTAGTTATTAAGCTGGATAAAGCCAGCCAATCCAACCTGAATATTAGCACATTGCCGTCAAAATTTTAAATTGTTAGAAACAGCAGTTTGAATTTTCCACAACCTGTGCATTCTACAGATAATAAAAAAATATTGTAATGGACGTATTTTTGAAACATCACAGCATCAAATGTTAAACTCACATATCTGTCATCCTCTGGTCTGTCTCTAACACTACAAAACTGACCACGCCCCTTAGCAAGGGGTGGAATTACCCTATGTGTCCTTCCCTTTCTGGGTGACACCTCATCCTACAAAACAATAGAATGTTATTAGTGAGTATTGAGATACGTGTACAACATACCAGTAATCTGACGCTGAATTTATCTATTAAACACCACAAAATCATCACCATCACCATCCTTAGGCTGCAATCAAGATGGATGCCACTCCTCTTACCTGAAAGTCTTATTTGCCATAGCTCTTTCAAGTACTTTGGAGGCCTTGGGGGGAGCAGGTGTGGCACAGGCATTGATGGTTGGACCCTGGGGGGGGGTACTGCCATATATGGGCTATATAGGTATGTGCCACTGTTAAGAGTATGGTTTTGAAGCAGTTTACTCTAGGATAGGGTATATAAATCAGAGCGTTTGGGTCTAGAATAGGGTATCATTTTTCAGGAAACTGATCAGTTGGTTGAAGATTTTATCTAGACTAGGGATTGCGGTATAAGGTTTTGTTTTGGCTAGACTGTGTTAATGACCTCAGTAGTTTCTGGAAAACAGCTACTCTAGGATAGGGGGGATTGGGGGAGTTTACTCTAGTATAGGGTAGCAAAATTCAGCTGAACTAGCTCTGGTATAGGTTAAGGGTCCCAGCGGCACATCCCCACCCAGAAATTCCTAGAACAACAGCACCAACAATCTTCAATAATAGCAGACTATTGATTTGCGCAATAATTCGTTCCTGTTAAACATATTGGAAGGATACACTCAAAGGCTCCTAAAAGGTAGCACAAGGTATTTATGCTGTACCAATTACAGTGATATAATTGTCAATTTGCACCGACGGGTAAATAGCTATTTACTTACCAGGCTTACATAATGCCCCTTTGGAGAAGGATAAGATGACCTAGTGCCTGGTGAAACGTCTCTTACAAGACCTTTAGGAGGAAAGCCATTAGCAAAATGTACTTGTCTTGCAAAAGCATTTGGGTTGCTGTCCCTCATCATCATCAACTGACAAATGAAGCTATCCACAACTTTAACTTGGCCATTCGGAAATTATGTCTATTTGACCCTGAAAGGAAAGAAAACACTTGAAACTTCACCACATGAGACGTACATAACACATTTTTATGTTGTGAAGACCACTACAAGAACAAACTGATGACAAGTTGTATTTAACTGCAATCTTATAAAATATTTTGAAACAAAACAAGAATTAAAGTGCATTGTTAACTCTCATTATTATTAAAAGATGTTATCTTCAGCAATTTCCTGAATTTAACACAAACTGGGGAATAGTATGGATCGGATTTTTATAATTCCCCTTATAATATTTGGTTACAAATAACTTAAACTTTGTATGTTTACCTTAATCACAAAGACAATCAGCGTTTGTTTGTTTGTGTTTGTTGAAATCATTAAGATTATTACTCTACAAGCACGAGTATTCCCACATAAGTCTCAAATCAAATAACAAAAAGTTTCCTCTAATGGAAAATATGGTTGTAATGTTGTCGGATTTTTAAGCTCATCTTACAAACTTCACCTGTGGAATTCGAAATGCTTCTGTCTCCAACAACAACTTGGTTACGGGAGTTGCACGAACGTGATGGTATTATCGCAACATGGCATCATGAGTACAAGATTCAATGGAGGCTCGCGGTCATTTCCACCGTTAAATATTAAATATTGGTTTGATTTCCACAGATAAGCTCAAATAATCCTGAAAGATTACCGACATTCCAACTTAGCAACTTTCTTATCTTATCTGTTTCCATGTGACGTCACAAATTCGATTAATTAGGCGCCAGCGATTTTTAGCCTGCGGTGTATCAATGAAGGCAAAGAGGCCATATGTAGTGGTATAACCAAAATTGTTACGTTTCGTTTCGTACGTTGCAGTCACATGGAATGGCGGGTATTTCGATGTTTAAGTTTCCATACCATTACTGATTATGGAAATTTTGCGTTCAAATTTCCTGGGATCCCTGGCCACTATTTCTGAAGCGATTGATTCAGCTTCGTTTCTTGCTATTGACGCTGAATTTTCAGGTCTGAATGTGAAGTGGGGTGTTGAAAACTCGTTGGATACTCCGCAAGAACGCTATTCGAAGCTCAAACAAGGATGTAAAGATTTCATCATCATTCAATTCGGATTGTGCACCTTTGCCTGGGATAAGAAAAAGGAATGCTACACTGCAAAACCTTTTAACTTTTATATTTTCCCAAAGGTCTGGAATCGACAGTGCCCCGATGTTCGATTTTTGTGTCAAAGTTCAAGCATTGATTTTCTAACAGAGCATAACTTTGACTTCAACAAGCTTTTCCGTGAGGGGATCTCCTATTTGCGGCCCTATGATGAGTCGAAATTGAGGGAACATTTCCTCGCGAGAAACGCACAAGATTCTTTCACTTCTGCCTCACTGACTTCTCCCGATACCACAACTGAAACAAGTGGGGGGTCCTCCCACAAGACCCCCAGGGCAGTTCCCCCGGAACATAGGGACTTTGTTGAAAAAGCATGCAATAGTATAGAAGAGATGTTGAAAGATCCGGAGGGGACAGTCACTAAGCTTCCTCCTTGCAATGGCTACTTAAGAAAGCTGATCTACCAAAGTGTTAAACAGAGGTTCAAAGCTGGTATCCATATGGAATCCGCAACCAATGAGAAGAAGGAACGCTTTATTGTCGTCACCAAGGTAAATGAGGATCAGAAAAGAAAACTTGAAGAAGACAAACAAGCTAAAGAACAAGATCTTATTGAAAATGCTGTTGGATTTTCACAAGTTGTGAAAATGATTTCGCAGTCTGGCAAAGTGATTGTTGGACACAACATGTTTCTTGATCTACTTCATGTAATTGATCAGTTTCTGTGTCCACTTCCAGAACTTTTGGAAGACTTCAAGGCTACAGTCAGTGCGGTGTTTCCACGACTTGTCGACACAAAAGTCATGGCCAACACACAGCCCTTCAGGGATCTCATTCCATCATCAGTTTTGGCAGATCTTGTCAAGCATGTTTCCAAGAAACCCTTCCAGAAGCCGGCGGTGCTATTTGACCCAGATTGTGCATGGGATGGTGAAAGTAATGAGAAACCCCATGAAGCAGGCTATGATGCATTCATCACTGGAATGTCATTTATTTCCATGGCAAACTACCTTGGTTCCTTTCAAGAGCCTCCCAAGGTCTACATCCCATCAGACTCCTCCCTGATTGTCCCATTCATAAACAAGATTTTTGTCATGAGAATGGAGGACATCCCATATGTTAACCTGGCTGGGCCTGATCTGAATCCTTCACGTGATCATGTGTTCTATCTGACATTCCCAAGTGATTGGAAGCAATCAGATATTCTGGACTTATTCAACAACTTTGGATTTGTGTACATCTCTTGGATTAACAGCACATCTGCTTTCATCTCATTGGCTCGCAGAGAACATGCCAGTAACGTGTTACAAGCATTAGATTGTGAGGGAGAATGCTACACTATAGTTTCATATGCTGAGCACAAGCGTCAACTATATGGTGTATATGATGATGATGATGAGCTTGAACGACTCAGAACACCCCTGAAGAGGCCAAGGTTCATGGAAGAGGCTGGATGGAAAACTTCATCACCTAAAGAGATCCAGGCAAGCAAGAAAGACAATAGTGTTATCAGTGAACCTGAAGATGGTGAGATTGTTGATGATGAAGAATCATTGGAGCCTGTCAGAAAGAAACAAAAGAAAGAAAGTAAAGTATTTGAGGAGCCTGATGATTGGTAACATTGCCCCTGGGGAAGAATCAGCCGAGGATATTATCATGACAAACACTCACTGTAGATGCTAAAGGATTTTGTCCAGTTTCACAAAAAAAGAAATTCATTGTACAGCATAATAAACAGTACCACAAGAAAGAACTACTCATTAGCTTTCATTTGAATAGTCACACCATAGGATTTCATCCTCAGACTCAAAAGTTAGGACCACCTTGTACAGGGTAATAAACAGTACCACAAGACAGAACTGCTAATTAGCTTTCATTTGAATGGTTACCCCATATGATTTCATCCACAGACTCAAAAGATAGAACAGCATAATAAACAGCATACTCATGTTGAGCCAGTATTAAAGCTATTTAGGGTTAGCATTTTCCTAGGGTGCTAACCTGGTAACCTAGGTTGAATACTGGTTTAAACTGAGAAAACATTTTATCTACAATAGCCACTTTAGGATGCCATTCAGGCCGAAAAGACAATTCCAAACTGTACAATATATCTACCAGTATGTATTGTAGTGTGATAACTATACTACCTAAAGAATTTCCAGATAGCTTTTATAAAAATAACATTTAGGATTATTTATAGGCAATACTCTAGGAAAATAAAGTACTGCCCAAAAGTTTTCATTCATTACAGCTTGCAAGAAAAGTTTCCTCCCTTGAGATAGATTCTGTTACTTAAGTTTATGTGTAACCTGTAAATTAGTGTGCTCCGGAGAGAAGAGCGACTGCTCTTTCTTCAGTGACATTATAAGTCTGTAACTTTCATTAGTTATAGTACTTAGTGCATAAAATATTTGCTGCGTCATTGTAAGGAAATAAATTGAAGAGGTGCAAAGTACAAAGCCTTCAGCTGGCTCTTGATCTGATATTTAAGTTGATCCATTGTTTTGCAAGAAAATACAAGGCTGTTGAGAAGGAGAATCTAATAGTTTATATGTACTTACCCCTTTTAAGCCCAACAGCTACATACAAATTCTCCAGATTGACCTCCACACATTTCCTACAAGAATTAGTTGAGAGAATTTGATAAAAGATCAAAACATGTCCCCTTTGGTGATCATCTAATCAATTCTCACAAACTTTCTTCTAGGTTATGTATTGATATGTTGTGAGAAAATTGATCTTGATTACTCTAAGATCTTAAGGGGTTAACAGAGGCTTCTTTACAGCTACTAGTTGAGACCATTTTTGTTCCAAGAACCTAAGAACAAAATGCAGCTTTTCGGAAGGGGAGGAGGAGGGGTGGTAGCCTAACTAAGTGTTTACATCGTCAAGACATGCTTATGATGAGGGGTTTGAGAGAAAGTTTTGTATTTAGCTGTAGCCTCATCCAAGAGAACAGAACAAGTTATCTCCCTGTGAAAGTTAACATTGCGGTGGAAGGGTCACGACCAAAGTGAGAAAGGATAACTAAGCAATAAGTTATTTTTTCAAAGAGAAAATAGCAGCTATCGGGAGACGAAAATGCTTACTTGGAGAATATGAGGAAAAACATCGTGGTTAATGTATAGCCTTTTGGCCACACCGATTATATTGTTGTAAAGCACACATAAGAAACTTTACGGCACTGGCTTGCCATTATGAGCCTAAACAGCCTAAACAAGGCCCCTCCATTCCGTTAAATGTTTCCTAGTTCTCAGTTTTAGAAAACTGCAAATCCCTGATTCTCCTCTGCCTGTTATGTTTGAAAAGGAAGCCCCCTACCAGAAGTTCGTTAATTGCCAAAGAGTGTAAAATAAATAATTATCTAGGAATAAGTACAATTTCCTTTTTGATGATTCGCTGAAAAGCAATTAGTACCGAGCGAAAGAGCTGCAAAATAATTTTACATAGTCGCGCCATAGGATTTTCACAGCTTGGAGCCACTTTACACACTCTCTTTTATGGGAACACTATGAAATGATACTGTTTCATCATTAGAAAAAACGGATATAATCGCCAGATTTAGCTGGTTCAAAATGNCGTTAATTGCCAAAGAGTGTAAAATAAATAATTATCTAGGAATAAGTACAATTTCCTTTTTGATGATTCGCTGAAAAGCAATTAGTACCGAGCGAAAGAGCTGCAAAATAATTTTACATAGTCGCGCCATAGGATTTTCACAGCTTGGAGCCACTTTACACACTCTCTTTTATGGGAACACTATGAAATGATACTGTTTCATCATTAGAAAAAACGGATATAATCGCCAGATTTAGCTGGTTCAAAATGGTTATTATGGCTCCAAGAAAATTGTTCATAAATGTTTCCCATCACTTTTGGCCGAAGTTTTTAAGTGTTAAAACCATTATTCCTGATTTTTAAGCATTTTTTTAAGAAAAAAACTGAGTAATTTCTTCAAACAAAAACTGTATATGATAGGGCGTGGCCGGCTTGTTTTCACTGTGTTCTTCTGTTCTTCTCGTTTTACAAGCCGCAGTGCTCGTAAGCCTAGTTTAGTCGCTTGCGAAATATTCGATTATCAAAGATGGCATTGCTTTTGCACTTTAGAAAATCAAGGGTACCAGGTCGATCGCGTAGTTGTCTTTTTGATTATCTTCGAATCTGATTGATTCTGTGTAGCCCTCACCTATTCTAATTAATTTCCAGAGGCAGCAGCAGAAGTCTCCGATATCACCTTCCCAGTTAGAATAAGCTAATTGTAATGGGACAGGTAAAAAAAACAAATTTTACTAGCCAGTGAGGTTTAACTACTTAGCCCATGTTAACCAATCACAATCAAGGGGGAAAAATTTGACTGGGCAGGTTGCACAGCTTCAGTTTGAGAACAAATTGATTGAAATAAACTAATCCGAAGTAAAGACAATGAGTTTTCCTTTATTAGCTAGATATTCATTATCAATCAAAAAACAAAGAAAACGATGCAGCTGCTTAGTTTAGAGCAGAACAACTCGAGCTTTAAGCAAACAGTGCCGGATCCAGGGGAGGGGTTCGGGAGGCCCCGCCCCTGCTGACTTTTGGACCAAACCGAGGCCCGAAGGGCCGAAAAAATTTGGGGGGGGACCACCCCCCTTATCTAAGGGTCTAGATGACCGCCCCTCCCCCCCTCTTCCTTATCTCATGGTCTGGGTCCGGCCCTGGCGAATAAGAATTTTGTACGTACTGCAAATATAGATTTAGCGAGTTTCTTGCATTTTGTTGTTGACACAGTTAATTGATATAGGACTCGTGTTGTGCAATTCAGTGTTAATCGTGCTCGTTAATCCAAATCTGCCTTGTGGAACACATTCGTCCGATCTACAATTACTCGTCAGATTACTTCCTGAATTTCACTCCATTCAGTCATATCACCATTATTATACTAATCTCGCACCCAAACTTTGTCACATTTGCTAGTGGATTCACCGACTGTAAGAGGTCTGCGAACTTAATTATTAATAATTGATACTATTTTATAATTAGGAGCAAAGGAAAAAAAATGATGGTTACACTGTTTGTATGTGTACAGAAAAATGATCTTGATAAACTTTTAAACTTTTTACTCCTTACGAATGTTTTCTTTTGTAACGTTTCCGGGACAGCAAGGTAGCCCATTTTCCCCTACCACGGAGTCAGCCTTGTAATAATACAGTAAAGAATATTTAAACCTGATTGTCATTCATTGAAAAAAAAAACAACTCTGAGAAATATATTTTTCCGAGAAAATGACCCTCAATTGGAGGACAATGAAGTAAATGTCGTTCGCCAGTGCGTTGCCTTGACGCCTAGCGTGTGATTGGTTAACTTGGTTGAAGAGGACCAAGCTTGGTTTGGGGCTAATGACCCATGGCAAGCAGAAGCGGGATTAAAAACGTGGCTGTGAGAATTTGTCGAAAGTATAAGCAGCTACTTTTTTTCATTGATCTCTGTGCTTGCGAACAGTATGTCTAAGTTCTCAAGAAAACGGCCACATCCTTCAAATGAAAGTGCGCGAAAACACAGTGGAGGGGAACAATTTGATCTACTTCCCTCTGACAAGAGATGCAAAATATTCGCCGTGACTTTCGATTTCTACACTCCTCGAGCTCATTTTATCATTTTGCCCCGCAGAATGTTTCCTGTCCCGGAAAATTATAATG